CCCACACGTTACTCACCAAAGTAGGATGTAGAACATTGTCTTTATGAACTATATTATGCCAGCTAACCTAGATGACTTCTGAGACTATGGTCCTTAACCTTCAAGCCCAGTAACTCAGTCCTGCGAAGTGTTTGGTTATGTCTAGAATGTTTTCATGACTGTGCACCCTATGTGCTCTATTATATATATATGAGTATACTTGTAGCACATACAAATGCATATATAGAAATAACCACAATTAAACCTATATATGCATGTGAATGTACTCCTATATGCCCTCACACACCCATTCAGCATACGTATCTACCTAAGTATCCACTCATGAAGTATTGTTTGTCATTACTGTTGTTGCAGGATTGTATATGTTATAGTATTTACTGTCTTTGCCTTTTATCCTTGCATACTTCTCAGTGTCTTCTCTTGTCTTGGTCATGTTGTACTGACTTCCCCCATATTGTGTATTGCCTTTCCCTTCACCAGAGTTAACACGTGTCTACTCTCTAGTTAGTGATTTTCCTTCCCTCCCCCTCCCACCCCGGGTAACCATCAAAAAATGTTTCTGTATGTAAACCTTTTCTTCACTATTTATAATAGTGGTCTCATACAATATTTCTTTTTGTGATTGACTTATTTCGCTAAGCATGATGTTTCCGGATTCATCCACGTTGTGAGGTATCTTGCGGATTCAGCATTATTCTTTATTGTTGCGTAGTATTCCATTGTTTGTACATACCACAGTTTATCCATTCATCTGTTGATGGGCATCTAGGTTGTTTCCATCTTTTTGCTATTGTGAACAGTGTTGTGGTAAACATGGGAGTGCATATGTCTGTTCTTGTTATGGCTCTTATTCCTCTAGGATATACACCTAGGAGTGGGATTGCTGGATCATATGGTATTTGTATGTCTAGCTTCTTAAGGAAGTGCCATACCGTTTTCCGTAGTGGTTTTACCATTTTATATTCCCACTAGCAGTGTATAAGAGTTCCAATCTCCCCACAGCCTATCCAGCATTTGTCATTTTCTCTTTTTTTGATCAGTGCCATTATTGCTGGGGTGAGATGGTATCTCCTTGTAGTTTTGATTTGTCTGTCTCTAATGGCTAATGAT